GTTACCTACAAATCCAATACGAGCATCACCGGTTTTGGCAACATCAAAACCTTCACCCGTACCTCCACCACCACCTTTTGGGGTAATTAGCTCTCTTCGCAACTTTGCTAAACGAGCCTTCAGCAACCCAAGATGACCAGCTGTTGCTTTGTTTTTCTGTGTCCGAGCCATCTAAACACAACAAATCAAAATTCTACACCTCCATAAACTACTCAACGTAAAAAAAATTAAATATGTGGCATACGTCACCTCAGCTTCAATAGCTGCAATTTTATCCAGTATCGTACTCATTTTAATATGGTGATGATAGTCGTAACAGAACTGAATTCACATATAGCGACTGCACTTTCCTTAATTAACTAATATTCACTGCACTGTTGTGTTTACTTCCAGTCACTAGCACGTTTCGTAATTATCAACTAGTACATGTGCTGTGGTTACAAACACATCAGAATACATTTCTAGTCTCGAATGACTTCGATACTCGCAATCGCAACTGTTGATCGATTCCGCCTCGATACCTGAATAGTCTACGGCATTCGGTTGTGAGAAGTGTGTGATATTCGTGGTCATGTTAATATTTCTCTTTAATATACTGATGTAAAATGTGAATACAAGTGTATAACGTATCTTATTATCCCTGTCATCAATGAATGTCGGTAGGTGAACAGGTACAAATCTGATCTTACATACTGTTGTATGTATTTGTTACATCAATTAACATGTTATCGATGACTTAACCTCACAGACTGTCATGGCGTGACAGAACAAGAATGTTAGAAAGCAATGGATGTCCACAGTGCTACAGTACAACGCAGAGTGTGTGCGCGACGTGTTCAGTGTTCAGTTCACGTGGTGCGTGCGCCAGCGTCGCGTCGGTTCGTTTCTTTGAGTCCCATTCCGGCCGATGCCCGCCGCGACGCGGAACGTCGCCTCGCGCTCCAGACAGTGCAACCCCGCGCGGGTTCGTCGCTGTCTTCGTATATTTTTCGGACACCTATTTTCAAATCTTGGACTATTTTCACTAGTAGTCGGCTATGTTCTTCTTGGAGCTCTCCTCTTCGAGTTCCTGGAAGCTGGTTATGAGCTGGAACAGCGAGGTCACATTCAACAGTATCGCGAGGAATGTCTTAAGGAACTCTGGCTTATTACAGGTAGGACAGTCTGTCTCTTTATTTGAGGTTAGGTGGATTTCTGCTCATTGCAGTTACGAGCCAATTGTTCCAACAATTATTATGCAAATTCTGTGTTTTAATAATCTCACTTGCCAGAAACAGGCGAGTACCTCAGCAGGGCTTGGAATAGAATAGAATTTCTTAAAAAGTTCCCTCCTTTTCTTTGGAATGCAAAGAGTTTGTTTGCTGTCTGTTGTGCGGAGATTAGTTTTTAGGGATTGTGCAGTCAATTGTCAATCTAGTCCCTTCTGCCTCGACATTTGTTTTGTCCTCGTGTCCTGTTCCTAGATTAACACAATTTTTGTTGGTCGTACAAAATTCCATGAAATTTGTTTCTTTTTTTCCTTCAAAATGTAATGTGAGTTTATTGACGTTAATCCATCTGTTCAAGCTAGCAAAGACAACATTCATGCAAATTTGTAAAGTCTCAATTTCTGGATGCAAAATAATGATATTCGTGTCTGACTGATGATTGGTGGAAAATCATTGACATATTTTAGGACAAGCTGAGCACCAAGAATGGAACCTTGAGGAAAACCATGTTTTTTTAATGACCCTATTTCAATAGGTGTTGTTGTTTAAATTGGTGATTTCTGTTGCCTTGTTTAATGGAGGTATGACTTAAACCTCTGATCAGCTATATTTCAAATTCCATAAAAATGTACTTTTGACAGAAATAATTTAATGATTATTGGTGTTTGGTTTTGCGTCATCGTATTTTGATGTGGGCCAATTGCAAAAATGCCTCGTGTCTCGCAGTTTATGTGTTATAAAGTTTTAAGGAAAATATTCAGACGACGGGAATCAACAAAATGCAGTTTTCTCTGTAGTTGAAAGTCACGCAGAGGAGGCGACGTTTTCAAACACTGTAAATTAAAAAGAAGGCCCTTCTTAATAAGAGTATGACGCAGACGATTTTCATTGGTTAGTAACTTCGTCATTAATAATTTCGCCGTAAAATATAATTACCTTTCATTAAAATAGTGGGCGTATGACATTTCTTTTTCCCTTTTCTCGTGCCGTCGCTGTACACTCGAGCTGATGCGGTTATTACATATTCATTAAACTCAACGCAAACATTTTGCTTTTGTGTTCCTTTAGAACTGAATGAGGCGCCAGACGAAATGGTCGCATTTGACTGACAAAACGCAGAGCTGTTTGACTACGCCTGTGGGACTGACACAGATCGTCATGCGAGTCCCTCAAGGGCCCTTGGCAGGCCTTCGGTAAACTAGCAACATTGCTGAAGGGTGGAATGGGAGGATAATATTAAAAATGATGTTAAATACGACGTGGGGAGAATTCATTTAGCACAGACTGTTGCGAGCACTGCAGTTACGTAATAGACGGGAAGTTCATTGGGTAGCTGAGCGACTGTCAGTTTCTCAAGAAGGGCTCTGTGCCGTGGAGTAGGTTAGTTAGACCAAAGTCTTCTCCTCAGCGACTTTCTGTCGAGAATCGATATGGAACATCGCAAATCATTTCCAACAAGACAAAAAGACATAGAAACTATAGTTTAACGACGCACTTTTATCTTTCCGGAATTCGCGGACGCAGATTCGCCTCTGTTTTGATGAAAGGCTGAGTAAGAACACGTGAAGATCGCACGAAAGTCGGTGTTTGCTGCGTTGCAACGCCGTGTGGACTTGTAGGTAGATACCGACGTTTCGGAGGAACGTGCTGCCTTCACTTTCAGCCCTGACAAGAAAGTGTCTTTGAACAGTTAAGTAACGAAGCGTCTTCTCAGTTACAAAGCTCGGCCAGACTGACGTCTGATCCAGTGAGAAGTGTAATCATGTGATCGTGTCCATAAAAGCTGGTAGTCGCTTATCCAGTCAAATTTTCCGCTGTCATGACATTAGACGCCACTGCGGTCAGTGGCGTCTCATTTCAAATGCCGTGCTTTTCCCGTTGAACAGACGTGTCTAGGAACTTCGCCCCGTCTTAAAGGTTCCACGGATGGTGCGATAATGATCATCGAATGTCTTTGGCGAAGAGAATATTATTCGTAGTGAGTGATTGTCCGATTTACCTCTTGAAATCATGAGATTCATCTGTCGTCGTCGTATTTCGGCCTCAAACTTAACGCACTTTCACAGTGAAGTAACCGGAAACTAATCTTCTATTGCTAACCTTTAAACAGATCTGTGTTGTAACTTCAGATAAATTCGACGCATTTAATTAAAAAGTTCCTCCGACAGCGTTTCTTATTCTCTGCACTGGATTCGAGCAAAAATTCAATTTCATCTTCCGTTTGTCTCGTTGCCTGGAGACCGGAAGAAAGATTTCTGTTCCCAACAAAACGCCGCTTCTTAGAATTCCTCGAACATTGTGTGGAAAACTTTCAGGCCATGTACTAGTTCGTTAGTTAGTGATCGTCTGTCAGCTACGCTCCTAGTAGCAGATGTTGGTACTTGCGGAAATGGGGCATGCGGACGGACGGACCGACGGACGGATTCGCTATTCTGTACCAACGTCTCTGGTTAGGTTTGTTCCCGTTGGTCCAAACGATGTTGCAGGTCGCTGTGTGCCCTAAATCCACCGAAACGGAGGACGCATCGAACCCCTGCCACCCCTGGAGTCGCCGAAAAACACGTGGATGAGGCCCGGTCGGTGTCAGGAAACAGCAACTGACGTGGAGCCTAATTTAAAGCCGACGTTTTTACCCGAACTCTTTTTGATCTGCGTCACACCGACTGAAAAATAAAAACGCCGCTAGGGATCGAACCCAGTGACTTCGACATCGAACGTCGCGGTCGAGCAGTTGGTATCCCTGCTTCCTGTTTTTGTTCGATTCTCGGCCCTGATTGAGGTGCATCGCGTTTCTACTCAGTCCCTCCACAAGCATTGGTGTAGTGCGTTAAAATGAGTCACCGAGTGTATCTAAGCTTGTGTAGATGAAGAAACGTCGATAAATACCCAAGCATAGATCAATCCAAGAACTTCGAAATGCTGTTTGGATGTTCTGGTCAGCGTTCCAACCTGTTCTGTCGTCTATTGAACGCGAGTGGTTAGCACTCGGGATTCGTGGTCTGCCCACAGAGTGTTTTTCGTGGTTTTCCTCGGGTTCTTCAGGCCGCTGTAAAGTCTGTCGTCCTGAAGGGACACCCGGCCCAGTCACGTGCTTGTTCTACGCTGCTAATCCCCGCTACAGGTCCAGCGTCTGTTCCATAATTCTCTGTGAGTACGGAGAGTAATCAATCAAGTTGAAAACCAATTTATTTGGAGAAGAAAGCGAACTCCATTAAGTCTCAGAGACTCATTGGCTGATGGTTCGATGGCAAATCAACTCTTAAAATAACATAATTTTTGGCGATGCGTCACAGCCGTTCCATCCGACTGACTGTCTTAATCTGGAAACGTTTCCGGCCACTTCACCGTCTCCCGCCGAAGTTCGGACACCGAAAGCTGACAAGACGTTGTCATTTTTGCGAGATTTTGATCTCGTATCTTCGGCCCTTGGATTTGAACGTGACCGCGGAAAAAAACAATCAGCGATTTTGATTTGGTTTCGCTCCATCTGTTACCAAAAAAAGAAAACAGCTGTTGGCCTGAATGTTTTCCTTATACTTTTTTTTTTCCAATGCTTGAGTGATCGAGTGACGTACTCTGAGTAATGGATGAGGCTGCGGGGGAGGGGGGGGACATTACGGAACGAAGCCAGCAGCAACTCATGAAAATTTATCTTTAGTTGTTGAGTTTTACGTCACCGTTCAACTATATTGCTATGAGTCGCTCTCACACGGCTCCATACTCTGTGATACCCGGGGCACAAACTCACTGTTTTGTGTGGGAAGTACACCCGACCCCCCCCCCTCACGGGACATCGTCTTCTTTGAACTGCGGCGCCAACTGTCAAGAGTGAGCTGCCACGAAACTTTTCATTTGACGTACGTGGCTTTAGTCCGCGTGTTTGAGTCCGCTTCTCCAGGGCCGATTTTAAAGATTGTCATGTCGCCTGCGATTTGCGAAGTGTTGTCTCCGACTTCGAGTTCTCGAGGAACCACGCGCCAACTGTCAAGAGTGAGCTGCCACGTGGATCGAGGCACAACCAGCCCATTCTTTTATATGCATTCGTCTGTACGCAACTCGAAAAAACAGACGATTCTTAGCTGAAAACGAATTTTAATGTGCGATTCGTAAGATTTGAGGGTTTCCACGGCGACGAATCTGAAGATGGCTGTCTTCTGGGCTGTTGATACGCGTAGTGTGGTGAGAAGTTTACCGACGTGTCGGAGGTCGTCAGGGCGATCACGAGGATCTCTGAAACGTCTGTTATGATATTGTCCTTCGTTGTGACGCCGAGTAATTTTTTATTTTCTGCGTTTGTCTCCAGACGAGTCCTAAGAGCCTCAGTTAATTAGCTTCATCAGCTGATGTGTCCCAGTCTTGGTCTTTCCTAGTGGGCGTTAAGCTAAACCCTTTCGCGAAATGCTGGATCGAGGATCGGTATTTTTCTTGGGAACTCCCTCCCCTTAGGTGTTTCGGTTTACTCAGACATTTGGAAGGCTCTGCCCGGCCTCATCGTCACTTACCATTCGTCGTGATCTTTTAACCTGTGCAGGCGACGGCTTCCTGGCCGTTCGCGTTCAACTTTGACGTTCCTTCTCTAAGAGTAACAGTGGTTTTCGTCTGTCGCAGTGCAATCTTCTCTCGTCATCTCTTCCCTTCTGCGTGTTTCTCTCTTTCTGCGTCCTCTGTTTGTTTAAAAACTCTCCGTTTTATGAAAAATATTAGCCATGCTTTTTTTAATTTTTCATCTGAGCACACGTGTTTTTTACGCTGACGTAACACGTGATTTAATTTTTTCTCTAGCAAATGTATACGAGAGAGCGCCATTTTAAATAAATAGGCTGCCCGCTTGTGATAATGCTGATTATTTAAATCAGCAACGCGACTTGGATCGACCCGATGTTCACACGTCGTGTGTGTCCCGCGGAGTTTGGAAGACGATGAATGGAGCACTAATGCACCATCCG